TAGCTAGCACTGCTGATCCCCCTTTCCTGGCTATTTATTGCAAAATCAGATGTTTTAGTGGTGGCTCAGACGGTAAAGAATCTCCCCTTGATGCAGGACCCGGGTTCGATCCTTGGGTCAGGAAGATCCCTTGGAGGAGGAAATGACAACCTGCTCCAGTATTCTTGCCTGGAGAGAGCCTGGGCAATTCACAGTCCCTGGGTTCACCAAGAGTCGGACGTGACTGGCGACTAACACTTTCCTTTCTTTCTCAGTCTGTTGTGTTGTGTGGTTCCTTACAGTTAAGCAGGTGAGACATCTACAATCTGGGTGAAGCCTGCCCTCCCCGGTCCAACCTCAACCTTGCCCCCAACTTCAGAACATTTGGACGTGAAGTCAACTTGTCAGGTTTTTCTATTTTTTCCGTCTTGACTCTTAGGTTCTCTACCCAGATTCTTTTCTCATTGGGTTCTTAGCATCCAAGAAGAAGCTCAGTCACGCTTGTATGCAATAACTGTAAAAGTAATTATAATTGTTACCGTCTTAAATCAAGCTGGAGGGTGGAATGTTCAAGTCACTTTCTTATTTTGGGTAAAATGTGAAGTATGAGGTAAAACAGGTTGAGCAAGACAGTGAGTTATGGGCTCTCTGGAAGGAAGACTCCTGGAACCCTGGAGGGGGTGTGTGTGTCAGTACCTACGAGGATGTTCCCTGAGAGGGTCAGTCATCCCCTGGCCATCCCCTCTGTGCCTCATGCCATTTGTTACTGCTGTTGTTCGGTTGCTAAGGCATGTCTGACTCTTTGCGACCCCATGGGCTGCAGCACGCCAGGCTTCTGGGAGTGAGTTCTGCCAGGGGTGGTTTCATGTCATGGAGACCAGTGAATCACTTTTTGTTGTTGACTTTTTATTTTGTATTGGGGTACAGCCGATTAACAACCAATGTTGTGATAGTTTCAGGTGAATAGCCAAGTGACTCAGCCATACATATACATGTATCCTTTCTCCCCCCAAATCCCCTCCCATCCAGGCTGCCACATAACGTTGAGCAGAGTTCCCTATGCTATACCGGAGGTCCTTGTTGGTTATCCATTTTAAATGCAGCAGTGTGTACATGACCATCCCAAACTCCCTGATTATCCCTTCCTCCATCCATCCCCCTGGCAACCATAAGTTTGTTCTCTAAGTGGAGACCAGTGTATCTTATTAAGACATAGATGAAGAAACACTAGAACATCTTGGAGTTATTCACAGACATCTCAAGTGTAGGGGAGATACATTTAGAGGACTTTGGGATTCTCCTGATGATTGCTTGAAGAGCTCAATTTCTAATAACTCAATGGTGGAAAGATTTCTTGTTAGATATTCTTTTTCTATGGAGTGCAACTATGAGTCATTCATTTCTCAAACATTCATTACTAGTTTTGCTAAGAGTGAAAATCAAAAGGCAGGTTTTTGAACTGTGCCTGATGAAGCCTTCAGCTTCAGTGATGGTGCCAGGAAGACTGCTGGGGAAAAGGTCAAGGGCGCCTGGCTGGGGTCTTCCCGGTATTGCTTCAATGAGCACTTGTCTACAAATTCTCTTTTATCCAGTGGCGGCGTACTTAAGATTTTGTTTTTATAAAATTCCATTGCTTTATAACTGTTTGAAAGCCATCACTTTGGGGAACTGAGGTTATTGTACACAGAAAAATAAATCACTTCTTTTTGATGAATTGTTTTGGATTGTTCACATCTCAAAGAGATGAAGTATGTGCCTTCTTTCCTCTGTCTCAGTCACAAGTTCTGCCTTGGTTGGAATGCTTGGAATTTTTTTTTTTCCATAACAAAATAAGTCTGCTTTGTAAGAACTTTTTATGTTATAAAAACTTTATATATATACATATATTTTAAATTTATATATATTAAATTTTAAGTCACTTTATTGAGGTATGATTGACAGACCAAAAACTACATAGTTAATGTATATAGTGGAGAAGTAAGTAACTAAATATACACCTATGGAACTGTATGATGCCTATAGTTAACAATTGAGGTGCATATTGAAAAATTTGCCAAGGATAGATATTATGTTAACTCCTCTTAATCACAGATTCAGAGCACACACACAAACACAACAATAATAAATAAAGGGGACAGGAGGAAACTTTTGGAGGTGTTAGATATTTTTCTATTTTTACAACTTTGATTCCATAGCGCATAGGCATGTTACTCACAAACTGTGGAGTAAAACCTTATATATATGGCAAGAGACAAGATTAAATTTCAGATGGCCTTGATTTCATACAACTTCTCACCCTGCCTTTAGAAGAAGACTGTTTTGAAGACATAACCTCTAAGAGGTATCCCATTATGTCTTCGTTTTTCAACCATTGGCCTGTTCAGTATCTCCTTCTAAAAAATAGTATAGTTTGAGACTGTGAGAAATGAATAACTTTCTTGAAGAACACCTAGCTTTCTTGTTAGGTTTGTAACAACAGGATTTATCTATTCTCAACAGCTTCCTCCAAACAGGCTGTTGGTGTAATTGACATTTGTGGTGTGGGATGTTTCCGGCCTGTGTCATTTCCCATCTTCCTTACTCAGGAAGCATTTGCTGGCTACATTTCTTCTTGCTGTTTGACTTGGGATTTCTCTTTTTGAGGGGAAAACTAATTCAGAATATGTTGTATGAGCAGTGTTGGGAAAAGACAGATGAAAATACGTTGTTGGTAAGATGATGTGTGTTATCAACGAAGAAGTCTTAAGAAGAAAACAGGTAGTGGCTGTGTAAACATAAACTGGGGACAGGAGAAAAGTAAAATCATTCACCTTTACCTGTAATTGACCCTAAAGAGGTTTTGTTGTTTTTAACTCCAGAATCCTGAATTTGATGTGCAGGTTGCTTTGAATTTAATTTGCTCTTGAATAACAGATCACCAGTAGTTAATTGAATAAGAGCATGGTGTCTTGAACCATATTGGTCTTTTCCCAAGAAATACCTATCATATTGGAAGCCAATCATTCATTAGCTTCCTTTTTAATTTATTTTTAATCAGATCTTCTATTACTTCCCAAGGAATAGGTGATAAACCTTGAACACTTCAGCTTACTAGAGTTAGAAACTGCTGACTCTTTCTGATATGACACTAAGAAAGTTAGTGCAATTAGATCTCATAGATTTTCTATCTAATTCAGTCTGTTTTTCACTCCCTTATTTTAGTACTTTCGTACCAATATAATGAAACTTAAGCCACTGTGAGTCTGTGTAACAAGTGCTGAATATGTAAAATAAATTTTTTTGCCTGAAAATTGGGAGAAAGAGAGTCTGGATCTTCTGGAAGGAGAGGATTTAATTATTTTTGTGGCCAAATTTATCAGAATTGCCCATACTTGTTTAAGGAGGAGGGTTTGGCAACCCACCCAGTATTCTTGCCTGGAGAATCCCCATGGCCAGAGGAGCCTGGAGAGCTACAGTCTATTGCGCCACAAAGAGTCAGATGTGACTGATTGACTAAGCACTCATACTCTTTTAAAATAGTAAGAACTTAAAGATTTTGCTTTTATTTAATCAGAAATGAAATTTCTTGATGTGATATAAACTATGCATATGTAGGAAAATTATTTTCACAATGATCTTACCTCTTAAAGATATTATGAATAAAAATCTCATGGAAGGGCTTCCATTATAATTTTTGTTTTTTGGTGTAGAAATACCCTTTCCTATAGTCATGCTACATGTAGAGACATTTTATTCTTGTACAATTTCAGTCATCTTATGATAGCTGTAGTCATGGAATTCAGGTCTCCTTCCATCTTTTTTTCCCCTCTCTCTTTCCCCTTCTTATAGCCCTCTCTCCTTGCTCCATCTCTCCACATAATATCCATCTGTGAGGCAGTTCTGGTGTAATGGGACAGCACTGGACTTGGCCTCAGAAGATAGAGGTTTGAGTTTTGCTGTGTTGTGTATAAGCTCTGAGACCTTTGGCAGATTGCACAGCTTCTCAGGACGTCAATTCATCTGTAAAGTGAAGGAAAACATCATTGCGGTTGTAAAAGATAAAGTAAAGCAATGCATGTGGAGGAACATAACACTGATACCATGTTGAAAAAAATTTTTATTGGGCTAGAACATGCAAAACAAAATTTACCATTCCAACCGTTTAACGTGTAATTCAGTGACATTATAATCACAACTTTCCAAACGTTGTGCAACCGTCATGCTATTTCCAGAACTTTTTCATCATCCCAGAAACTCTGCACTCATTAAGTCATGACTCTCCATTTGCCCTTCCTCCAGCTCTTGGTAATAATCACCTTTTTACTTTCTGTCTTTGTGAAGTTGACTGATGTAGCTACCTCATATAAATGGAATCATACAATATTTGCCCTTTTGTGTCTGACCTATTTCCCTTAGCATAATGTCTCTAAGGTTCATCCCTGTTGTAGCATGTGTCAGATTATCTTTCCTTCTTAAGGCTAAATAGTATCCCATTGTATATTTATAACACATTTTGTTCATTCATTCATTCATTGATGGGCATTTGGATTGTTTCTTTCTACCTTCTGACTGTTGTGAATAATGCTACTGTGAATATGGGTGTGCACATATCTGTTTGAGTCCCTGCTTTCAATTCTTTTGGGTGTTCACCCAGAAGTGAAATTGCTGTATCATATGGCAATTATGTGTTTAACTTTTTGAATGACGTTCTAAGTGTTTTTTGAGTCTGTTGAATTGATCATAGCAATGCCATTCCGAAATGGTGTGTCTGTTCATAGTATTTTAATTTCCATAGGTCACTTGATGTGAGTCAGGATAGTGAGGTCACCTTACATTTCAGAACTCCAGGGATAGCTTGCCAAGGTGGCTAGCTCTTTAGCCCATGGTTCTCAGACATGCACTCGCTGTACGCTTAGATCACTGAGGGGGAGGATGTGCTGCGCCCAGACGTGCTGGTTAAACAAGAGCTCTATCAATGGATGTTTTCTGCTCTGGGCCTTTCCGTAGGGATTGAGGAGACTGAAGGAGGCTGAGGACCTCAGATGGGCTCAGTGGGTAGGCTCCACTGTCTGACCATGACGGCCGCCGAAAATCCCACACCTGGAGACCTGGCTCTGGCACCCCTCGTCACTTGCAAACTCTGCCTGTGTGAACAGTCTCTGGACAAGATGACCACACTCCAGGAATGCCGATGCATCTTTTGCACAGCTGTAAGTTTTCCTTGATGCTTTCATCATATGAAAAATATGAAGGGAAAAATTGTAAAAGTATAGGAGATATTTCTGTGGCTTGGGAGAAGCCAAACTACCCTATGATCCTGCTTGGAAGAGCAATTCCATGTTTGGATATGATTCCAAATACTATTTTGAATGCTAAATCCGATAGTTGCTGGGGTTTAGGCAAAGTGTAACATGTGTATGAAATTTAATTATTGGCTGCATAAGCTGTGCCTTTCTGTTCTTAATGCTCTAGCTAAGGAACAAAATAGAGACATTTTTAACTTGGCTTAATTTACCATCTGTAAGAAGCTCATCAGGTGTTTGAATGATGGAGAAATCAGGTAGCAATTTGCTGAATTTTCTTTCATCTCCTGCAAAGCACACGGTATGCAAATGTTTTACTTTGTCAAATATCCTTTTTAATTTTTTTTTCTATTTTCACAATATTCTGAATGCTGCTTATTCCTCGTAATAGATATCACCCTATAGATCTTCAGGGGTGGCCTTGTCTCTTTTAGTTTGACACTTTGGTATCCGTGCCGGTGATCTTGGTGGCATGCAGCCCTGAAGGTTGGTTGGTTAAAGGATGTGCTAAGTAGCTTCAGTCTTGTCTGACTCTTTGTGACCCTGTGGACCCAATGGTTAAAGAATAAAGATAGGACTGATGGGTTCCATGGGACTTCTAGAAGTATGAGCCAGGTGATCGTGTTCAGATTTTCATTTATTCAAGCACTTTTGGAGCTCTCACTGTGTGCTAGTGAGAGCTCCCTGCAGAAAAGATGGACACGTTGAAGGAACTGGACAGGGGTTTGGTGGAATCCGGGGTGGCTCAACGCCGCATGCCACAGGAGACCCTCACCTGCTTTAGGAGTGGGAGGGGGCTTCTGACGGCAGTGCTGTCTGACCTGAGGCTTTAAACAAAAGACCGTAAGCTGATGCCCTTGGGCCACACCTGGCCTCAACACATTTTTGTTTGTATCGCCCATTGGGAAATTTCAAATCATGATAAATTTTTCATAAAAAATTGAAAACGTAGTAAGATATAGCTTCTCTGGGCCTGTATTCATAGACCCAGAACTGAATGATCTTTCTTCTCTTTATGGCACTCACCTCTCTCCTGTGTGTTTGAATCAGCAACCCTTTCCCCCCCCCGAAAAACATGATATCACATTTTATTATTGCTATAGCTGAATCAGCTACCCTTTTTAAACTAAGGATGGATTAAGAGTCAACTCGGAAGAGTACTGGGCATCTCAGCATGGTGGGGTGAGGGCCTGATGCCTAAATTACAATAATCACCATTTATCTTTGCTTTGGGAAGGGGCCTTGTATGGTCCAATGGCTAATATTTATTATACAGTAAATGTAATAATCACCAGACAAATGAGGATTTAATAGCCTTGACTTGTGAGGGAAATTGACCAGTTTAGTTACAGTGGTCAGTGCTCAAATCAAGGGGAGTAAGAAGAAAGGAATTATTTAGCAAGTTCTAGAATCATTTATAAAAAGGCATTTCACTAAGCATGCTTAAAAATATAGTTAAGGTGAAGTAAATTTTACCCCATCTCTTTTTTTCTAAGTTTATTCAACTAACGTGACACATTTTCCAGCTAGTTTCTATCAGTAAGAGCAGGAGGTTAGGAGTATGGGGCCAGGGTTTTCAGTGATAATTGGGTAGACAGGAGGAGGCTTCAGTAAGTGTATGTGTGTATTCTTTACTCAACATTGATGCAAAAATTTGAAAAAAATTTCCCTCACAAGTCAGGGGTATTAAACCTACATTTGCCTGGTGATTGGGCTTCCCTTGTGGTTCAGCTGTTAAAGAATCCGCTTGCAATGTGGGAGACCTGGGTTTGATCCCTGGGTTGGGGAGATCCCCTGGAGAAGGGAAAGTCTACTCACTCCAGTATTCTGGCCTAGAGAATTCCAGGGACTGTATTGTCCATGAGCTCACAAAGAGTTGGACACAACTGAGCAAATTTCACTTGTAAAACTTGTTGTTTGGTGATTATTACATTCATTGTATAATAAATATTAACCATGAGACCATTCAAGGCCTCCCAAAGCAAAAACAAATGGTGATTATTGTAATTTAGGCATCAGGCCCTCCCTCTACCATGCCGAGATGCCCAGCTTAGTAGATGCCCAACTTTTCCTAGTCGACTCTTAATCCATCCTTAGTTTAAAAGGGTGTTTGTCCTGGTTCCTCCTCATCTTGTCAGTGTGAGTTGCTTTACAGGAAGTGAGGAAGTGGCCTTGTCATCACGGGGCAGCTTCAGTTTCCTTTGGTCTTGCTTTCTTTCAGAGTGTTGTGCTTCAAAACTATTTTTTTTGACTTTCTCACATTGGTTTCAGACCCTTGCTAATCCTTGAAACAAATGAGTCAGAAGCAACATTTGGTTAAAGCCAGAATGGAAATTTTTGTCTGAAAGTTACTGTTTAAAAGCAGGATATGGGATTCACTTTTTCAGAGATCTCATAGAGCAGAAGTCAAATTTGTGCATCAGTGTTGGGCAAAGAGTGCACACACACACACACACACAAAGGCTGTGTTTCATATTCACAAGGAACTGACACCTACTGTATCAGTGTTTCTGTAGATCTAAGTTCCCAGTTAAAGACCACACAACTAGTTCTTATTTCTCCTTCAGCAGTTTGGGAGTAGGGGGTTAATACAATTAGATTATTCTGTCATCTAGATCCATACGTCCCCATTGTTGGGGCGTATGCAAAAGCAGAAGGTCAGATGGCTTGGTATTTTTGTACTGTTGTGACTTGGGAACTTTACATAGCCATAAATATGAACCTTCCCTGGCTTCCCAATGGGATCTATCAAAATAGTCAGCTCTATTGGGCTTCTCTGGTGGATCAGGGGTAAAGAATCTGCCTGTAATACAGGAGATGTGGCTTTGATCCCTGGGTCAGGAAGATCCCCTGGAGAAGGAAATGGCAACCCACTCCAGTATTCTTGCCTGAGAGATCCCACGGACAGAGGAGCCTGGTGGGTCGCAGTTCATGGGGTCTCAGAGGAGTCAGGCATGACTGAGTGAGCACAACCAGTACCACGTGTCTGATTACATTAGTGTCTATAAATTTGCAATTCAAACCTGAAATACTTCACCTGAGATACTAGTCTAACTTTTTTTTGATAGAGCTCTATTTCTTTCTTCTTTTTAAAAACCGGTTGTGTCTAAGGGTTACGGATGTTAAAAACCAGTTAAAAATACTAGTTTAAAATGTGTCTGATCCTGCTGGATTTTGATTTGCGTTCAGATTAAAGATATTAAATGTGTTTTGTGTTTTCAAGGCTGAAAAGAAACCTGTGACATCTTAAAATAAACCATATACTCCTAATTCCAAATTTTAGGTATGATTGGACAACATTTTCCCAGTTATTGTCTGGGAAAGCCTTCTTGTGCATACGATGTATTTAATATGGTCTTGCTAAGAGAGCGCCCTTTTGCCCCTGTCTTGATAGGAATGTTTGCATGTAATGGTTCTCCTTCTAGGTACGGTGCTGTATTTTCACCATTTCGGTGAACTTTGCTCCATTCTATCCTTGTCTTGTTTTCCCTAAGAAGCAGTGTGATCCGTATGCTTGGGGAGAGCAGAATGGACAGAGATGAGGTGTCTGACTTGCCCATTGGCTGTTAGCCAACTCAGATCTGGCATGAGTAGCTGATCCTTGCATAAAGTGTTTCAGAGTCAGATTAGCTTGGATGCGGATGTATTTTCTATTCCTCTCTTGGAGGCTTGCGATGCATGTTTGCATTTTAGAGACTCTGTGAAACCTTGTGCTTAGAAAGAAAGCAAAGGGACGCAGTTGAACTTCTGATGAAGTATTTCTGTTCTGCCAATGCTACCCCCCCCTTTTTTTTTAAGTGGAATACCTATTAATTTCTCCACAGCCAGTGCATGGAAGAATATTGCTTTAACTTATTCCATGGAGGTAGTTCTTTTTTTTTTTTTGGAGGTAGTTCTTGATTTAATGACATCTAGAGAAAGGAATGTGACAGATGTTGCTTCAAATAATCCTTTGATGTATCTAGTTTCTTGTTAAAAGGAAGCTTTACCACGTTCTGTTTGGGAAGATAGTTTCTGTTAGACTTTTTGCTCAGATTAAGCATAGAGAAGAAAATATTGTATAAAGGAAGTGAAGCTAAATATACAGGACAAAAATGGGTGGGGCTCTCACTGGCATGACTGAGGTCATGAATCATTAGGTGTATCATGCAGCCAAAGAGGCTGATGCTGTGGGGTTACAGAGAGAGGTGTTGCAAGATAACTTTTTTTTTTTTTCTTAAAGTTCTTTTTAAAATTTATTTATTTTTAATTGAAGGATGATTGCTTTATAGTATTGTGTTGGTTTATACCAAGCATCAACAAGGATTGCTTGTTGAACTTAAAGGACAAATATCTCAGGGATGTTAGTCTACTAACTAATAATATGGAAAAAGTCTCTCTCTCCCCTCCCCTCGTGGATTTAAATAATGCAAATAAAAAGATTTAAATGCCCCTTCCCTAGCTTTTGCAACACACTCTTTCAGATAATACCACACAATTATAATTCAAGTGAAAGGAAAAAAAATTTCACCAAAATCGGTTATCAAAGGAGGGAAAATTTGTGGGTTGCTCCCTTGTGAGCAATATTTGCCTCTCTGATTTATTTTGGAAGTTATTTCTGTCAGCCATGAATTAAAGAATAATGAAAACACAGTTGTTGCTTGTTTTTATAACCTAGATTATTTCACCTGAAAAGAGTCGGTATGTTGGCATGGCCTATTTACCACTCAGATTAAAGACAGGATGTGCTGAGCAAAAAGAAAATAAAGTCCAGCCATATTCTTGCCTTTTTTCCATTACGTTCTGTTGGCCCTAAGTAGTTAGAGCTCCTTTTACTATTCATTTCTCAGAGCCAAATGGATTTTCCAGTGTTGAAAAAAGTGAGAGGAAATATAAAGCTTTTTAGACCAAGCCCTTCTTTTCCTTGG